CTGGGTCTGATGAGGCTGACCCTGAGAAAGTGCAGTTAGAGACAACCAAGGGGGAACACTTAAGACTGTAAAAGTAGGAATATTCTCAATTATATTCATTACCTTTTTCATACCATGTCAAGAAAGGACTAGGTAATAACCTCATGAATATTTTACTTTCTCCAAAAGATTCAGAAGCAAATTTAGTAGGAAGTCACTCCTTTCCCTTAGATAAACTGCTTCTGCCAAACAAAGTAGTATGGCTACCTAGAAACTTACTGGGGCCACTTTCCTGACTGGGGCCTGACATGCTTTTATCTGGCTATCTTCTAAATCAACAGCTAACCCCCCTCCCAAGAAACTGAAGATTTAATATACAGGGTAATAAGCTTCCACAAAGAACTCCAATAAAGTGCTTCAGATCTGGCCATGTGGAAAGGTTTGGTCCACGTTTTTAAACTGGTGGTTACCAAAGAGTTCATGTAACAGGTTTGTATGTAGCACCTTTCATGCAAGGCATGGTAAGAGCCTATTAAAAAATCACTGTGCATATTACAGAATTGCAACCACCTCACAAATGCAGTATTACAGCCTGCACTGTCTTAACAGTTTATGTCAGGAAGTGAAAAAGATGCTGTACCAAATCTGGAATTACAATGAGGAGTAATAATGTATGCTAAATAACTTTGTACTTTAAGTTACATTTATGAGGAAAGTGAGTTTTTGTGTTTTTCTTTTCTGCTACACTTCGTCCTGAGATGTATTTTTTCTTTAAGCCTTGAATGAGTAATACAAAAGGAGCCCATTTTGTGATATAAACCTTGATGTACATGTTGAGATATTTGGACAATGAAAATGCCTTAAAAGGAATGCTTATGGATAAAGTTGCACTTATAACACCCTTTAACAAAACCTGATTTTAAACTGTCTTTTTCTTTTCTACTAAGGGTTCTCTTTCAATGTTTGCCATTGTACTTATAATTGTTATTAAATACCAAATCAAATAATATAAAAGCTGTAACATTTCCTTTAAAAGTAATACTACTGAGGGATTTGGAGTTGAATGGCAATGATTATTACTTGGTAATACCCATTATCAGCCACAGGAAGCCAGTTTGTAACAAACCATCATTGGTTGGATTTATGTTTTTAAAAACATTTCACTATTTTTCATTTTAGACTTTATTACTCCTTAAAAAATTAAGTTGGTTTAACATTCACTTAAACTGATCTAAAAATAAAAGAGGTGATTTTTATAACAAGTGGTTAATAATCATTTTAAAAATTATAACATATAATTTAGCTAAGTATTCTTTCTTTTCCCTTTGCCCTGGAAAACCTTTTTTCAGACATAACCCATAATCTTGTTTAGATGATTCTAGATCTTTTAGGGATGAGTATTGGAGGTTTGGGAAAAGAATGGAATCTTACCAGTTCTGTCAATCCTCACATAGGTTTAAATACAGTAATATATTGCACAAAGCAGTGTCTTTCATTTTCATTTATTGATTTTGGGGAGGCAGAATGTTAGAGAGGCAACCAGTTGTGTATTCTGGGGCAGGTTAGTCTTTCTGAGCCTGTTTTCACTATAAGATGGGAAGGGCACTATCTACTGTCCTCAGTCTTTGGTTTCTATTCATTAAACCTTTATTTTATGTGCAAAGCAGTCTAAAATTTCCTCTTAGAGATGTAGTAAACAGCAGGTAAAAGGTAACATGGCACCTTAGAATAAGGTATCATTTATGGAAATATTTACTAACTCCACATCTTTTTCTTTTTTTTAAGATTTTATTTATTTGACAGAGAGACACAGTGAGAGAGCGAACACAAGCAGGGGGAGTGGGAGTGGGAAAAGCAGACTTCCCTATGAGCAGGGAGTCCGGTGTGATGCCAGGCTCCATCCCAGGACTCTGGGACCATGACCTGAGCTGAAGGCAGATGCTTAACTAAGCCACCCAGGTGCCCTTAAAGTAACCCTTTATAGAAATTCTGCCATGAGTAGACTTGGAGTTTCTAATCCTATATACCAAGAAATGACATTTTTACTTATTTTGCCTCTTAGCAACAATCTGGTTACACTATCACTACCAGGTGGAAGTTACTTTTGAGTGGCCAAACTTAGTACTATGGGTACGTCATGACTATCCCATTTGATTGCACCATAGGCAAATATGAGAATTTTCATGACAAGATCTCGACTACTTTTGTAATATAGTCCACCTCAGACCTTCAACTAATGAAGGTTTTAATTTAAGCAAAAAAGTTTATCACTCCACAATTTTGAACTAGCTTATATAGAACTGACAATACATAATCATGAGTTCTTACACTGTTTCAGATGCCCTAACTGAAGGGGGGATGAGTAAAATTTAATATAACGTACAGAACACAAATTTTCCAAGTATATTCACATTTCTAACCTCTCAGAAAGATTAAACAAATCTTTCCCTAATCCTCATTCCCCAAAGATAACCACTATCAACAATTTAATATATGTTCCTTTTTCTCTATATGTACAATATATGTGTAATTTTATATATGCTGTTTTTTTGCAAGTTGTGTTTTTCAAGTAAACACCCTAAAGAAGACGTAAGATAGTTAATCTTAACTAGCCTTAGTTTTATTGTTAATATACTCTCAATTGTTGAAGGCATTCCTGTAATGAGTAGTGCTCATGGGGGATGGGAAGTGGACCCTCTGAACTGACTAAAACTACTTCAATGTATCTTTTTAAAAGCAGCTCCTTTTTATAGGGCACCTGGCCAGCTCAGTCAGTAGCACTTGTGACCCTGGATCTCAAAGTTGTAAATCTGAACCCTACCTTGGGTGTAGAGATTACTTAAAACAAAACAAAACTCTGCTCCTTTTAGACGAAACGTTCCTCCCTAAAATGATTTCATCACCAAATCAAGGTGCTAAATATTCTTATCAATTTTAATGCTTTTTATAAATTACAAGTAAGAAAAACAGCTTTCAGAAATAGATGTATTCTAAGTATCAGCCCAATTAGTTGTTTTTATCAAAATTTAGTATTATGGGATCATGTCCTGTCTTCTTCACAAATGTGATAAAGTCTTCAGGGCTCAATCCCATGGTTGCAGCATTGGTCATTGGATGAAAGTACACCTTTTCATGTCCACCTTCCAAAAAAGCTGAATCCAGAACAAATTTCACATCTCCGTCATCACAGAAGAGTGCCAAAGGTGTGGCACAGCCTTGGCCAACTTTTAGTTTTTCTAGCATGGCTGTTTCATCAGCAAACCGAAGATTTCCACTCCCAACACCTAACTGCTTGGCAAGATCATTTAAATTAATTTGTCTATCATGAAGAACTGTCACCAGCCAATAGCTTTTTTTCTTCTTGTCTTTAAGAAATAAATTCTTACTGTGTGCTCCTTTCAAATGCTGGACATGAGGCATCATTTCTTCAACTGTAAACACCTGTAAAAAATAAAATGAAAACTTCAAAAATATGCATGTACACATACTCTGCTTGCTAGGTGAAAACAGCAAGGTTAGGGAGCACCCAATGCCGTGGATGTCACTGGTAGGGACCCATTCCCAGCCCATTATGAAATAACACACCTTGCCATTTCAATCCCTCATCTGGAGACCTCTTGGGCCAGTTATCTTTTACAATGTGCTGGCCAAGCACTCCTAAAGTGTTTTTTTGTTTTGTTTTCTTTAAACTTTTGGTACTGAGAATCTATAGCAGCCCAGATTCCTATTCCTTAGCATTCCATTACATCCAAACCAGGTAACAACCTCCACTTTACAAATATATAACCACAATAAGGGTGAGATCACGGGCAGGGAACCAGACCTGGACTAGTAACATCAGAAGAGTGGCAATATGCACAGGTAAGGAAGGGGGAAAGTACTATATAGGAGGGAAGAAGCTCAGAGAAAATGATACCGTTTTGATGTTAAATTGGTGAAGCTGAAGATTTTTAAGGTATTTTCCTACCCTTTGAAGATCACCATGTTTAACTACGATCATTAGCTGTTACCCTCAAGCTATGTCCCTATGCTCCTGCACCATTCAAGTTACACTGGCTCCGTGAAATGTTTGCAAATCCTCACGTCAAATAACGAAATCATGTTCTTTCCAAACTTTCTAAGGTTGGTGTCCTGTTATATGCACGATGTCTGGATAAATCGATGACGCTACAGAGACGGTTTACTGTCTGATATCTACACCATAAAAACACACGGACCCAGCTTTACACACCAGTTTAACATAAAGAAGTTCTCGAAATGTGACCAAATAGCTCCAAGAGGAAAACGTTAAGTTTTCTCACAGTAACAACACAGTCCCGAAAGGCTTTTGATACTCCTACCGTGTCCCTTTTGCGCTCTGGATCCCGGGAAACATCCTAGAACCGACATTTCTGCGGCACCTTACCGCTGGGGCCTCTGGTCTTCACCGCCCCGCCCGAGAGCCGCCGCAGCGGAGCCCACCCCTCCGGCAGGGCTGTCCCCGCAGAAGCGCCTTACCTCCGGGTGCTCCACAACCTCAGTATGGATGGCCAGAGCGCCGAGCCGCTGCTCCAGCTCTGCCCGCAATTCCTTACCCGCCATGCTGCCGTCGTGGCCAGGAAGAGACTGGGCGGAGAAGCGGTGAAATGGGCGTGGCCTCCCGAGCGGCTGGCCGAATGGAGGCTAGAGCGGAAGTACCAGGAGCGAACAGGGGGCCGCAGAAGTCCAGTGCAGTTCCTTCCGGAGGCGGGCCCAAGCAGTCGGCGCGCGCTCTTCCCTGCTTCTTCCGGGACCGTCGCCGCGTCTGTGGATGTGGTCTGCAGGCATTCCCCGGCGGCAAGAGCGTGAGGCTTTCTCTATCCTGAGTTCCACAGGAGGAAGCCATGTGCCTTCCCTAGTCCCGCTTCAGGTTATCTAGGCTCAGCATAATTTCCATTTAAACAGAATCAGTGTCACCGAAGTTAAGCGTAGGGAGTGTTGGAGAAGGTTGTGGAGAGGATGTGACCACGGGTAATCAATCCCCAGGCAGAGAAGCTCCCTTTCCCCTGTCCTTGAAATGTATCTTCTGACCCTGTTCCTGTACTGGCAGCCACTTGAAGGACATTGCCTTGACAGCGTAATGTGATACTGCAAGCACCAGGACAGTTTTGTAGCTGAAATTCCCGTAAGGCCTCTGCATAAACTCAAGATTCTAGCAGGTGGGTGCAGAGATCGCTGTCTTGTGGCTGCCCAAGACAAGCCTCCTGTTGAATTCCGTTGCTTATTAAACTTGCCACTAGTCATTATAGAGTGGTCTGCCTTTTCTTCCAGACTCTTCTTGCCTTTACCTTGTCTGGGAAGGAGGGCAGTTTCAGATTTTACCGGAGGAATTTAAGAGATTTTCGAATCAACAGGGAGAGTAGAGGGTGCCAAAATGCCTATTCTTTTACGACTTTTCAACTTTTTTTTTTTAAGAATTTATTCATTTATTGGGGTGCCTGGGTGGCTCAGTGGGTTAAAGCCTCTGCCTTCGGCTCAGGTCATGATCCCAGGGTCCTGGAATCGAGCCCCGCATCGGGCTCTCTGCTCAGCGGGGAGTCTGCTTCGCCCCCTCTCTCTCCCTGCCTCTCTGACTACTTGTGATCTCTGTCTGTCAAATAAATAAATAAAATCTTTAAAAAGAAAAAGAATTTATTCATTTATTTGACTAAGAGCGAGAGAACACGAGCAGGGAGAGCAGGAGAGGGAGAAGCAGGCTTCCCAGCGAGCTGGAAGCCAGATGCGGGGCTTGATCCCAGGACCCTGGGATTATGACCTGAGCCAAAGGCAGATGCTTAACGACTGAGCCACCCAGGTGCCCCACGACTTTTCAACTTTTAATTTATAAATTACAATTTCACATTTGACCTTTCCTGAAAATTACCTTTTGTTATTATTCATGTACAAATAATTGGCGGTGGCAACCACAACTTGCCTTTTTGGGAGGCAGTTTGCCTACCTCAGGGTGGGGTTTTCCATTATCCTGTGAAACCCTCAGTCACCACTTTTTTCCACTAGGTTTCTTTCTAAAAATGAAATTAGAAAGCATTAGAATAGGAAAGAGCACCCATTTGAAGATATGGCATGTCCCAAATAATTGTCTTTAAATGTTGAAGGTGTTCAAGAAAACCCCAATCCAATCATGGTGAACTGAGAGTAAACAGGGGAAAGAAGAATTGGAGTCTGATTGTAACCAAGAAAGGTAAGTATGTCCAAAAGTAGGAAACATGAACTCCATCTGTCAGTTATTCAAGCCATGAACTTTTGCATTCGGCATACTACACGCAGACACACAGACACACACACACACACTCCCCTATAGCTAATCCATCACAGTTCAGTTTCTCAAATCCTTCCACTTCTCACCACCTCCATCACCCCAGCCCAAACTACAACCATTTCCCCACTTGGCTAACACTAATGTTCTCTTAATTTTAGTTCACCTGTGGTGGGGTGACCACATGTCCTCCTCCAAGCAAGTCTTACAACCAAAGATATTTATTATAAAATGAAACTAAATCTGTCTATGGTAAAAGCACTTAATATTGCTGTTTAAAAACTATCTTAACCTAGATTTAATGCACTATTTATCAAGCATCTGTGTCAACATTGTATTAAATAGAAAAGAAATGCTATCTATCCTTGGTGTAGTCCTTTGTCTTCAAGGCAAATACAATCTCAAATTTATACTGCAAACAACATGAAACAGATTAAATTCAAAATGATTAGCATGAACTTGAGGAACTAGATATTTAGCCATAGAACTTGAATTAAAAAAAAAAAAATATATATATATAGAGAAATCTCAATTCTAGGAGAGAGGTAGCATCTGATAAATATAGTTTATTGAATTGTTTTACAAACAGGACAAGACGTAATAAGTTTTGTGGCATTTATATAAGAACGTATTGAGGGAAAGACTCGTTATTTTTAGGAAGAGTATGGATATTTGACAGAAAAGGACAGAGTCTGGAAAAAAAAGGAGCTGGAGAATGGAGTTACGCCAGGATCCATGAAACCAGGGACACTCATCTAAGTTTGCTCAAAGTAAAAGAAACAGTTACAACTGTAGCCTACATAGCAAAAGAAATAAAAAGGCCAACATATTTATCAGCATCATGGGGATTGGGCATCCTGGCATTTATTAGATGAAGAATGTTAGAAATCCCCATTACCGAGTGAAACAAAGGGCAATTCCAGAACAGGTAAATTGAAAGCTACCCTGGAAAGCTGTAAATATCCCAAACAAGTGAAACAATAGGGAAAAGTGCTTGCTGCAGTCTATGTCTCTTCAACTTATCTTTTGGAACATCTCTATGTGCCAAGCTTTCTGCCCTCAAAGACTTTAAAATCTAGCAGAGGGGACTGAAGCATTCACAGAAGGTAAGTCCAAGAAAATGTGACTAGTGCCACAATAGTGGCATGATGCAGATGCTTTAGGAGCCCAGAGGAAGGGTGCTAAGACTGGGTTAGTGCACCAAGGAAAGCATTAAGGGAAGATGGCACCAGTTTGAAGAATAAGTAGGACTCTGCCAGGGGGAAAAAAAAAAAAAAAGGACTCCAGCTGAGGAAACCCGGGGAGTTGAGGGATGGAGGATGGAGGTGAAAAAGCATGGTATGTCTTGGGGCAGTATGATTTGGTGTGACAGTAGAGCAGAATGAGAGGCCCATCAGCAGAAGACAAGGCTAGAAGTAGGCACAAAGAATTTTACCTGCTGCACTAAGGAATGGGGAATGTCCCACCATCAAGGGCCATGTTAAATAAATTAGGCGACAACTTCCTAGGGAATTCTGCATTCTCAATCATGCTCTCAATATTTGAAAATACAGGGAAGCACAATTCAGTAAATTGAGAAAATGAATTATAGGAGAGGATAGACAATACAGCCCCAATTTTGCTTCAAAGTACACATAGCTTTATAACAGTGTAACTAAAAAAACAAAAAACAAAAAAAAACCCCACCTAATTAGTATTAGCATCTTTCCCTAATCCTGCTCCACAAAAACCGGCTTCTAAAGGCCTATGGAAGAGGATTCTTCCCAGGTCAGGAGAAGATGGAGGTTAGTTCCTACAATAAGAAAGGAGAAAGCAGCTGGATCTAAGAGGAAATTGAAGTTTCCTCAGAGTCAGAAAAGCAGGTGGGGACTGGAGTGTGAAGGACGGGAGAGTAGAGAAGAGTCCCTTTCTTGGCACTTTGTCCAGCCAGTGGGTAGCAAGATGGGAACCTCCTGTCAGTGGCAGGCAGTCTCCCTGGGGCAGCCTTGCCTAAGCAAGTGAGACACAAGTATATCTGAACATCACTGCTCAATGAGGAGCCATGACAAAAAGACAATAACCCCATAGTCCAGTTCCCTGGCTCCTCCCAAGTCTCAGTTTCCTGGATGATTCTGTGGAGTAGGGAGGAAATCTTAGCGATAGCCTCAGGTTAATGTTCCTTGCAGCTCCAACATGTGGGGACACGGGCCATATTATATTCAACTCAAAATATGATTGAAGATCAGCTATGGACTAAAGGGAAAGTGGTGAGCAAAACCAAGCAGAGACCCTGCCCTTGTGAAGCAAATAGTATATTGCAGGAGACAGATATTAATTAGTCAAATAATCACAGAAACAAATGTTAAATTGTGTGGGTAGCAAGCGCTAACAAGGACATATAGGCAATGCTAGGAAAGTCCATAATAAGAGAATTTCACCTCGTCTGGGGGAAGGAGGAGTGGGTCAAGGAAGGTATTTCTGAGGAAGTAAAGCAATGAAATCTGAAAGATGAGTAGGAATGAAGAGGGCAGAGAGAGGAGAAGAGTAAGCCAGGCAGAGGAAACAGTTGTGTGCAAAGGTGAGAAGAAGCAAATCAGGGAAGAGGCACTGAAAGATGATCAGTGTCAGGGCGGCTGGGTGGCTAAGTCAGTTAAGTGTCTGCCTTAGGCTCAGGTCATGATCCCAGAGTTCTGGGATCAAGCTCCACGTCGGGCTCCCCGCTGTGTGGGAAACCTGCTTCTCCCTCTCCCACTCCCCCTGCCTGTGTTCCCTCTCTCACCATCTCTCTGTCACATAGATAAATAAAATCTTAAAAAAAAAAAAAAAAAAAAGGTCAGTGTTAGTGGCATCCAACAAGCAAGGGGAGTGGGGTCATGGCTCCAGTTCCCACACACTAGACCTGGTAACTAAAATTCTCACCTGCTAAAAATACATTTCTCAAAGTGGTTATCTCTGGCTAATTTTCTTTGTATTTTCTATCTTCCAAAAATTTCTATGTTTCTATGTATTTTTATAATGGAGGGGGGAATCAATAAGTTATTAAAAATAAAGAAATATAAACCTCGTCTCCACAAATAAGACAGATCACATGAGGGTATTTTCAACAAAGACTTCAAAAGGGAAGAAAGTTAAAATGTAAACAAAATTAATAAGTGAGCAGACTGAATTTAATTACTTCCCAATGAAAATATGAAACGCGTGAAAACATTCAGTTTTCTTGCCTGCAGAAATAGTGGTTTTGTACAACATAAACAAAATGCATGTAGTAGATGACAGTTGATTAAGCAGAGAAGCAGCAATTTTCCTTTAGTTCACTTTAAACACTCATTTAAAATTCGTTGGTCCTAAGGACTCAGAGGACTCTTAGATCTGTTAAGAAAAATTATTCGAAACCTGGAAATAAGTGAAGGGCTTACTGTTTGCTCTTTCAGTCTCCTGCTGGGATTTGTTTAGCATGCGCTCCTGGGGAACCTCTGATTCTCTAGGAATGGTCACCTTCTTTGACCTGGTATTTTTTAATTATTTATTTAAACATTTAATTATTTAAAATGACTTATCAGTTATTTAAAATATATTTATATTATTTTTAGTATACAGGTATTGTACATCTCTGTAAGGGTAGATCTTAATGTGTGGAAAACTGATAGTAATAATAAATGAGTTTTGTCCCATAGAGGTGTGAATGATTTTTGTCCCATAGAAAAGATAAACCCCAAAGTCACAACTTTCTTGTGTTGTAGTATATTAACCAATTTCCTATCTATGTTAGCAATCTTGTTCAAGCATTCTTTCAGCCACTGTAAAGACTTGGCACTCCCTAATTCTCTTTGAATGAGGCTGACCATCTTGTTGGTTCCCTCTTTGAAGGGAAGAGTGAAATACATCTTTAGACACGTGATCCCTTTTTAAAATATTTTTAAACTCCTCAAAAATAATACTCTAAGAATTTAACCTTCTTAATTTTGTAATGAAGATATTGATCACCAGAAAGGTTAAGTGTCTTATTCAAAGTCTTCATACTCACTGGGGAGAGAGATCAGACAAGGATGTAGGAATAAGAAGTGTAGGTTGGTACGGAGGTAAAAACGTTTTAAGATGAGCAAGGTCAGGGATCTAATGCATAATAATGTGGTTCTAGTTTATAATGGTGTGTTGTCTAACTGAAATTTGTTAAGAGAGGGGAACTCAAATGTTCCCAACAAAAAATAAATGAATCCGTATAAGTAAATTTATGAGATGATGGATGTGTTAACTCAATGGAAGAGGAATACTTTCACTATGTGTATGTATACCAAATAATCACATTGTACACTTCAAACACCTTACAATTTTGTCAGTTATACCTCGGTAAAGCTGGAAAGAATGCAATCAAAGACTGCAGCATAAAGACATTTTTTAAAAAAGATTATTTATTTATTTATTTATTTGACAGAGATCACAAGTAGGCAGAGAGGCAGGCAGAGAGAGAGGAAGGGAAGCAGGCTCCCTGCTGAGCAGAGAGCCCAATGCAGGGCTCGATCCCAGGACCCTGGGACCATGACCTGAGCGGAAGGCAGAGACTTTAACCCACTGAGCCACCCAGGCGCCCCCAAAAAGACATTTTTAAAGAGATGTGATTGTGTATGAAGAACTCAGTGAAGTTGAGGATACTCAAGAAGAAACCCATAGAAGACCTTTACGTAATTTGGTTGCTAGTGATAGTGAACTATCCCGTTGTTGATGAAAGTCCATTGCAGACATCTTTGATGAGTATTGCTACAGCTCTTATTAGAGGTTACTGGAGATTAATATCATGTTCTCCACTAGAAATATACAAAGTTATTTCTCTTATTGTTTTCCATAAAGCACTTTAATAGCAGTGGTCATATTAATGGAAACACAGAGATTTACTACATATCATGAGCTATAGGTTGATACCAAATTAAGTGAGAAAAATGCTTATATTTATATGTTCAAAAGGTGACATTTCTAAGCTGAATAGGACCCTAAAGATCTTCAATGCAGCTTCTTCAAATATGGAAATGGTTAAACAACAGAACTGGAATCAGACTTGAATTTAGGTCCCCTCGCCGATCACTAAGGATATGACCTGGACAAGGTACTTAACTTTCCCAGTGATGATGCAGGCCCTCTGGTTTGTTAAAACTGATGTGCAAAAATAAAACATTCAGTCTTGCAGAACTGAAACATATGATGACTATAAAGACTACAAGCCTTGGGGGAAAAAAAGAAAAGGAAAGAAAAGAACAAAGAACAACCGTTGGGGCACCTAGATGGCTCAGTTGATTAACCCTCTGATTCCTGATTTTGGCTCAGGTCATGATCTCAGGGTCATGGGATTGAACCCTGAGTTGGGCTCTGTGTTCAGCAGGGAGTCTGCTTC